GACACAATGGATCAGCTAGACCCAATTGATATCTATAGGACATTTCACTCCAAAACAATGAATTTCACCTTTCTCTCAAGTGCACATGGAACCTTCTCCAGGACAAATCACGTCCTGGGCCATACATCTAGCCTTGGTAAATTTTAAAAAGTTGAAATCATTCCAAGCATCTTTTCTGACCACAATGCAGGAAGATTAGAGGTCCATTAAAGGAGAAAACCTATTAAAAATTCCAACGAATGGAGGCTGAACAACACGCTCCTGAAAAACCAATAAATCACAGAAGAAATCAAAAAAGAAATCAAAATATGCATAGACATGAATGAAAACAAAAAACGCAACAATCTAAAACCTATGGGACATTGTAAAAGCAATGCTAAGGGGAAGGTTCATAGTAATACAGGCTTATATCAAGAAACAAGAAAAAAGTCAAATACATAACCTAACTCTACACCTAAAGCAACTAGCAAAGAAAGAAATGAGGAACCCGTGGGTTAGTAGAAGGAAATAAATCTTAAAAATCGGGGCAGAAATAAATGCAAAAGAAACAAAAGAGACCATAGTAGAAAACAACAGAGCTAAAAGCCAGTTCTTTGAGAAGATTAAAAAAAAAAAGCTGACAAACCATTAGTCAGACTCCTGAAGAAACAAAGGGAGAAAAACCAAATCAACAAAATTAGAAATGAAAATGGAGAGATCACAAAAGACAACACATAAATACAATGGATCATAAGAGGTGACTATCAGCCACTATATGCCAATAAAATGGACAACTTGGAAGAAAGGAACAAATTCTTAGAAAAGAATCTTTCCCAAACTAAACCAGGAAGAAATAGAAAATCCTACCAGACCCATCACAAGCACGGAAATCGAAACTGTAATCAGAACTCTTCCAGCAAACAAAAGCCCAGGACCAGACGACTTCACAGCTGAATTCTACCAAAAATTTAGAGAAGTGCTAACACCTATCCTACTCAAACTCTTCCAGAAAATTGCAGAAGAATGTAAACGTCCAAACTCATTCTCTGAGGCCACCATCACCCTCATACGAAAACCTGACAAAGATGCCACAGGAAAAGAAAACTACAGGCCAATATCATTGAGGAACGTAGATGCGAAAATCCTTAACAAAATTCTAGCAAAGAGAACCCAACAACATATTAAAAAGATCATACATCATGGCCAAGTGGGCTTTATCCCAGGGATGCAAGGATTCTTCAATATCCACAAATCAACCAATGTAATACACCACATTAACAAATTAAAAGATAAAAACCATATGAATATCTCAAGAGATGCAGAGAAAGTCATTGACAAACTTCAACATCCATTTATGATTAAAAAAAAACTCAAGAAATCAGGAATAGAAATAACATACCTCAACACAATAAAAGTTATATATGACAAACCCACAGGAAACATTATCCTCAATGGTGAGAAACTGAAAGCATTTCGCCTAAAGTCAGGAACAAGAAAAGGGCGCCCACTCTCACCACTACTATTCAACATACTTTTGGAAGTCTTGGCCACAGCAATCAGAGCAGAAAAAGAAATAAAAGGAATCCAGGTAGGAAAAGAGGAAGTAAAACTCCCACTGTTTGCAGATGACATGATCCTCTACATAGAAAACCCTAAAGGCTCTACCAGAAAATTCCTAGAGCTAACCAATGCATATAGAAAAGTTGCAGGATATAAAATTAACACACAGAAATCCCTTGCATTCCTATATACTAACAAGGAGAAAACAGAAAGAGAAATTAAGGAAACAATTCCATTCAGCATTGCAACAAAAAAAAATAAAATACTTAGGAATCTACCTACCTAAAGAAACAAAAGACCTGTATATAGAAAACAATAAAACACTGATGAAAGAAATCAGAGAGGACACAAATAGATGCAGACATATACCATGTTCATGGACTGGAAGAATCAATATACTGAAAATGAGCATACGTGCCAAAGCAATCTATCGATTCAATGCAATCCCTATCAAGCTACCAACAGTATTTTTCACAGAACTAGAACAAATAATATCACAATTGGTATGCAAATACAAGAAACCTCAAATAGCCAAGGCAATCTTGAGAAAGAAGAGTGGAACTGGAGGAGTCAACCTGCCTGACTTCAGGCTATACTAAAAAGCTACAGTCATCAAGACAGTATGGTACTGGCACAAAGACAAAAATACAGATCAATGGAACAAAATAGAAAGCCCAGAGGTAAATCCATGCACCTATGGACACCTTATCGATGACAAAGGAGGCAAGAATATACAGTGGAGAAAAGACAAGACAACCTCTTTAACAAGTCGTGCTGGGAAAACTGGTCAATCACTTGTTAAAGAATGAAACTACAACACTTCCTAACACCATACACAAAAATAAACTCAAAGTGGCTTCAAGATCTAAACGTAAGACCGGAAACTACAAAACTTCCTAGAGGACAATATAGGCAAAACACTCTCCGACATAAATCATAGCAGGATCCTCTATGACCCACTTCCCTGAGTAATGAAAATAAAAGCAAAAATAAACAAATGGGACCTAATTAAACTTAAAAGCTCCTGCACAACAAAGGAAACTATAAGCAAGGTGAAAAGACAGCCTTCGGAATGGGGGAAAATGATAGCGAATGAAGCAGCTGAGAAAGAATTAATCTCAAAAATATACAAGCAGCTCTCGCAGCTCAACTCCAGAAAAATAAACGACCCAATCAGAAAATGGGCCAAAGAAATAAACAGACATTTCTCCAAAGAAGACATACAGATGGCTAACAAACACATGAAAAGATGCTCAACATCACTCATTATCAGAGAAACACAAATCAAAACCACAATGTGGTACCATCTTACGCCAGTCAGAATGGCTACAAACAGTAAATGCTGGAGAGAGTGTGGAGAAAAGGGAACCTTCTTACACTGTTGGTGGGAATGCAAACTAGTACAGCCACGATGGAGAACAGTGTGGAGATTCCTTAAAAATCTGGAAATAGAACTGCCATATGACCCAGCAATCCCACTCCTGGGCATACACACTGAGGAAACCAGAAGTGAAAGAGACACATGTACCCCAGTGTTCGTCACAGCATTGTTTACAATAGCCAGGACGTGGAAGCAACCTAGATGTCCATCAGCAGACAAATGGATAAGAAAGCTGTGGTACATATACACAATGGAATATTACACAGCCATTAAAAAGAATGCATTTGAATCAGTTCTAATGCCGTGGATGAAACTGGAGCCTATTATACAGAGTGAAGTAAGTCAGAAAAAAAAAAAACACAAACTCAGTATATTAACACATATATAGGGAATTTAGAAAGATGGTAATGATGACCCTATATGTGAGACAGAAAAAGAGACACAGATGTATAGAACAGTCTTTTGGACTCTATGGGAGAAGGCGAGGGTGGGATGATTTGAGAGAATAGCATTGAAACATATATATTATCATATGTGAAACCGATTGCCAGTCCAGGTTTGATGCATGAGACAGGGTGCTCAGGGCTGGTGCACTGGGATGACCCTGAGGGATGGGATGGGGAGGGAGGTGGGAGGGGGGTTGAGGATGGGGAACACATTGTACATCCATGGCTGATCCATGTCAACGTATGGCAAGACCACTATGATACTATAATTAGCCTCCAATTAAAATAAAAGATAAATAAAGAAAAAATATCTTCCATAGATAATTTTATAAACTCTGGTGGTATTTTTTCTTTCCTTATGATTTTATAATAACAAGTAGTCTAAATAAGAAAAAAGCATAAGTCGTGATTTCATTCACTTAATGTATGTAATTACCCATTATTTGCTGACATTCAGAAAAAGAAATCAGAATTTCTCCAGAGGAAAAAATATAGTTCTCCAGTTTTTCTTTCAAATTGTTGCAGCTGAAAATTTTCTCATTTAATGAAAAGAGATTAAGAATCGCGTTTATAAAATTATAAATTATAATTTTAGTAAAAAGGATAGATAGAATGCTTCTTTATTTCCTCTTTATTTTCAGAAAGATCTAAAACACCCACCAAGGTTATAGCAAACAGTTTAAGATAAATTAGGTGAGTACATTTAAGTATATAGTGTCAGACACGAATGAGCGACTGAACTGAACTGAAGTTAGAAACCACAAGAAACAGAAGGGCCAAAAATTCTTAACTCATAATACATCTCCTAAGGCCTAAAACAGGGCTCATCTTGAATTGTCGCTAAACAAAAGTTTTGCTAGGTTAAATAGAAGACATTGCTCCATTAATTTCAAAGTGAGATTTTTAAAAGAGAAAAGTTTAAAGAGAAATCACTTCAAATTTAAATGGACTTCCAGAGGGAACTATATTCAAAAAACATATGTACATACACAAGTATAAACAAATCACGTTACTGTACACCTGAAACTTACAGGTATTTTAAACTGACTACACTTCAATTGAACGAAAAAGCAAGAACCACCACCAACCTCGAAAACAACCACCAAAAACAATAAGGAACACATTTTCTTTCAGTTCATCATAAAAATCAGCTATATGCCATTCAAAAGAGTATGAGCATTGTTTTTTCATGACCTCACTTTCTCTTCTTACGTTGAATTTGAAATAATGTCTCACAGAATTATAACATAAGAGTTCCTGGTGTGACTTACCCCCCACTATTTCTGTTCTGTGGGTAAAATAATCTGTCTCATCTTCACCCTCATTCCATCTTATATTCATCTTGTCCTTCTTAAAGGAATTCTTCCCCTTTTTCCTCCTCCCCATCTTCATATTCATCTAGTTGTTTTTCCTCAGTGCTTTGTAATTCAGTACTTTCATAATGGTATACTTAGTATGCCAATATTTTTAAATCTGAATCATGCACATGTATGGCTCTTATTATCACACCATTTCGTATCGTGACTTTGAGGGCTTCTATTTCTCTGGTGGGATTCTTTCTGTCTTCATAAGGATCAGGGGAATGGTATGTAAACAAGTACAGGGAAAGAAGAGTTACAAACAGAACCACTTACCTTTGCAGGACCAAGGCCTGCTACAGACTTGAGAAGTTTTGGAACAGGCTCAAGTGATGGGAAGGCAGGCTGACAGATGCCCTCAAACCAGGGTGATGGTTTGGGAAATGTTTCAACCACATCTTCAATGTTACTATCAGAATTATTGTCCTCAGAGAAAGTGGTACTCTCTGGTCTCAAAATGCCACACTTTGCTTCCACTACAGTGAAAACAGGAGAGAGTACATGAGAACATGTGTCATTTCAAATCAGGGAATAACACCAGAAGGACAGTCTTCGAATAACTTACTGTTTCTGTCGGACTGCTGAGAAGGCTTCATGAGCTTTGTTAGCTTTGGTTTCACGACATGCTGGAGAAGAAAACAAGAGCTTGAAGAATATAACAAGTATCAACCTGAATAAATGTATAACATCCTCCACTCCTCCATGATCTAACACAAAGAGCACAGGCTCTGGAGTCATTCAGATGTGGATTCAAATCCCAGTTCTGCCACTGACTGACCTGCTCATGGGGAAAGGATTATGACAGATGACATCAGAAGCCCTGGATGTTCCTCTCCTTACCCCTAATTGACAGCTATATAAATACGATGACACCCACTAGATTACTTTCTCTAGCAAAATATTCGAGAGTAATAACTTATTCCCAGGACTTCAGAGCACGATTGAAAAACTAAGACATTTAAATTAATTGCTATATTTTAAAATCTGCTTCCATGATTAATATACACATGAATTATCACTTGGGAAGGGAAACATGAAAGTTTAGGTTTTAGCAGAACCTTATTTAGATGGCTAGAACTGCAAACAGGATAAGCTACTTCTATTCTGTTTGTCAAACAGCTAGAGATATAAAACAGGGGGAAAAAAATCAGCTGCTTCTATGAAACAGGGAAAGAGCAAGGTTAAACCCGTAGGGCAATGATCATGAATGAAAGCCACAAACAGTCTAAACAGACAGCCATAAGAAAACACGTGCATAACAGGGGAAGAGAGAGATGGACTGAAAGAACAGACACTGAAGAAATTTGCTCTGCGAGAAAAAATTAACAATAAATATTTTAAAAAAGAAATTAAAAAGGTAGAGGAGAAAGAAGAAAGGAAAAGGTGAGACATTCTTAGTCAAGAACAAACTTCACAGGGGAAAAAAAAAGTATACTAAGGTATGTGGAGAAACACATCTATTTAGAATTTATATACAAAAGATCAGTAATATAGCAGTATTCTTAAGTATATACTATCAGGAAAGCCTCTTTTTCATATGATTTTATTAATCTAATTATATGCATCTACACTGTTCTTCAAATTTTATGAAGATATCAACATCAGTTCAGGTCAGTTGCTCAGCTGTGTGCGACTCTTTGTAATCCCATGGACAGCAGCACACCAGGCTTCCCTGTCCATCACCAATTCCCGGAGGTTTTACAAACTCATGTCCATCGAGTCGGTGCTGCCATCCAACCATCTCATCCTCTGCCGTCTCCTTCTCCTCCCGCCTTCAAACTTTCCCAGAATTGGTATTTTCCAATGAGTCGGTTCTTCACATTGGATGGCCAAAGTATTGGAGTTTCAGCTTTCTGAATGTTGAGTTCTAAATCAACATTTTCACTCTCCTCTTTCACTTTCATCAAGAGGCTCTTTAGTTCTTTAATTTCTGCCATCATGGTGGTGTCATCTGCATATCTGAGGTTATTGATATTTCTTCTGGCTATCTTGATTCCAGCTTGTGCTTCATCCAGCCCAGCATTTTATGATGTACTCTGCATGTAAGTTAAATAAGCAGGGTGGCAATTTACATCCTTGATGTACTCCTTTCCCCATTTGGAACCAGTCTATAGTTCCATATCCAGTTCTAACTGTTGCTTCTTCTCCTGTGTACAGATTTCTTAAGAGGCAGGTCAGGTGGTCTGGTATTCCCATCACTTGAAGAATTTTCTACACTTTCTTGTGATCCACAGAGTCAAATGGTTTGGCACAGTCAACAAAGAATAAGTAGATGCATTTCTGGAACTCACTTGCTTTTCTTATGATCCAGAGGATGTTGACAATTTGATCTCTGGTTCCTCTGCCTTTTCTAAATCCAGCTTGAAGATATGAAGCTCATGGTTCATGTAATCTTGAAGCCTGGCTTGGAGAATTTTGAGCATTACTTTCCTAGCGTGTGAGATGAGGGCAATTATGTGGTAGTTTGAACATTCTTTGGCATTGCCTTTCTTTGGGATTGGAAGGAAAACTGAACTTTTCCAGTCCCGTGGCCACTGCTGAATTTTCAGATTTGCTGGCATATTGAGTACAGCACTTTCACAGCATCATCTTTTAGGATTTCAAATAGCTCAACTCCAATTCCATCACCTCCACTAGCTTTGTTCGTAGTGATGCTTCCTAAGACCCACTTGACTTCGCATTCCAGAATGTTTGGCTCTAGGTGAGTGATCACACCATCCTGGTTATCTGGGTCATGAAGATCTTTTTTGTAGAGTTCTGTGTATTCTTATACACCTCATCTTAATGTATTCCACTTCTGTTAGTCCATACCATTTTGTCCTTTATGGTGCCCATCTTTGCATGAAACGTTCCCATGGTATCTCTAATTTTCTTGAAGAGATGTCTAGTCTTTCCCATTCCATTGTTTCCTCTATTTCTTTGCATTCATCCCTGAGAAAGGCTTTCTTATCTCTCCTTGCTATTCTTTGGAACTCTGCATTCAAATGGGTGTATCTTTCCTTTTCTCCTTTGCCTTTTGCTTCTCTTCTTTTCTCAGTTATTTGGAAGGCCTCCTCAGACAACCATTTTGCCATTTTGCATTTCTTTCTCTCCAAGATGATCACTGCTTCCTGTACAATGTCATGAATCTCCATCCATAGTTCTTCAGGTACTCTGATTATCAGATCTGATCTCTTGAATCTATTTGTCACTTGCAGTGTCTAATCATAAGAGTAAATACTACATGAAACTAAATTCAGAGCATGAACACAAATTTCACAACAGAACACTTTACCTTGGTTTTAAAATCTAAGACTTCATTGTTTGATGTAGGCCCTAAATCAACGCCAGGTTCATTGGGAAACCTTTAAAGCAGAAACATACAATAAAAATGAGTGAGCTCATTTCCTTGAACAAAAGAAAAAAGAAAATAAAAACGAGTGAAAGTCTCTCTATATATTAAACTTTCTTGACATGAATAAAATTTGGCCTGTAAAACAGCTTTTTTTTAAAATTTTTTAAAGACTTTTTTGATGTGGACCACTTTACTGAATTAGTGCCAATGGTGCTTCTATTTTATGTTTTGGCTGTCTGACCCCGAGGCATGTGAGATCTTAGCTTCCCTGACTGA